AAAAAAAAATGGAAAGAGGATGTGTCATTGTGTTCTGTATTGGAATGGTGATATTTGGAGCTCAGGAAAGTAAGTGCTAAACTCCTCCAGCGACTGGGACAGTTGAGGCTGGAAAATCACAAGTTCAAAAGCAGCCTCTGCAACTTTGTGAGGCCCCCAAACAACTTAGTGAGACCCTGCCTCAAAATAAAAAATAAAATGTGCTGGGGATGTGGCTCAGTGGTTAAGCATCCCTGTGTTCAATCCTTGGTGTACATACACACATACACACACACACACACACACACACACACACACACACACCTGGCCAAGTGTGAGTTTCAAAAAACAGGAAGGGTCTTTTGCTTCTGGACAAGATGGGATCATGGATCTGGCTATTTTCACACGTGAAACAATGACAACATCGTCCCCGAGCTATTTCTTGATGACTGACTCCAATAATTGTGTATCAGAACAAAATTTAACACAAACTTTGTCAACTAAAAAGCATCTGATGAAAAAATTTGGAACAGGTGAAGACACTGGTTTAGATGAATGATCTGGGAGAAGAGAAAGCAGTAGAGAGGCAAAGAAGCAGAGTCGGCAATAACTTTCCTCCACAATCAGGAGAAATAGAACCTTCAGCGAAAACCTGTCTAGAGGAGATGCTTGGGACCTGGGGTCTGAAACTTTCCCCTGTGGCAAAAGTCACCTGCCTCCATCCCCTTGTGATAGTCATTGCAAATGACTGTCTTACCTGAAAAAATTAAAATAAACATTACCAGACCTAGAGCTCTTAGAACTAACCGATAAGGACATTAACTTAGCTCCTGGTGTTTAAGAAGAGAAAGAAATGCATAAGAATGGTGAGAAGCTAAATGAGATCTTATGGAAATAAAAAACCACTACATTTAAAATAAAAATTAGGCAGGATGTGATCAACAGTGGATTAGACAGTAAAGAAGAAAAGATYGATAAGTTAAAGGCACAGCCGTTGAAACTCTCCAAAAGGATACACAGGGGAATGGGAAAATGTGTACTGTTAAGATGTGGAGGACATTCAACAGAGATAGAATAATAGTCTCTTCAACAAATGATGCTGATTTTTACTGTTAAACAGTCGAGATGACTTACCTGATAGACCTGGGAGCTGTCCCTTTCTGACTGTGGATGTTAGAGGAAAACTATCCTTCACTTTGCTTCTTTGTCTCTCTGCTGCTTTCTGCTCCCCAGATCATGTATCTAAAATGGTTCCTGTTTCACTTTGGGTCACTTAGGAATTTAAGAAAGCAAAAAAAGAGCAGCCTTTAAAACATAAGGTTTTCACAGAAAAGGAGCATCGGTGTGACCACAATCGAGTGAGACAAAAATTAATAAATGAATTAAAAGCCAAGGCCACTCTGTGCTCATGCTTGAAACATGAAGTCAGCCTTAGCAGCAAAAACAGCCAGACATCCTCCCCGCAGTTATCATGTGACCATGACTTCTGGACCCCTGTTCCTTTCCTCCTGCTGCAGGAATAAAAGGGTTAATTAGATTTGCCCTGCTCTCTGACAGGATCCACGCCAGAGCAAAACCATGCTTCCTTGAATCCTGCCAAAGTCACCCACCTCCAGCCACTCCTGCATGCTTGCTGTGAATGCACCACAGTTCCCCCAAAGTGTGCTCTTTTCCACATTGTGACAGACAACAAACTCAGTTTGTCAAATGACAGGTGTGCTCCAGGTGGTCGTTGATTAGAAGCTTTCAACAAACTTCTTCACCACCGAGCTGGGAGATGTTGGTGCCTACAGGCTTGTTCTCTGTTCACTTCTACTTCCCAGGCCTCAGGGACATAACCCGCAGGACTATAACCCTCAGGACCACTCATTATGTAGAAAAGTACATGAGTATAAGATCCAAAGTACAATTTGATGTTAACTCTGTGGGGTGTCATGTGACTCTATTTCTTGAACTGTTCAGTTTGGAATCACCCTCCCTCCAAGAATGTGGACACAAACTAAGAACCGAGCATCATGCTCATTAAATAAGATACACTGAAAACTGCTAAAGCCTGTCACCCTCACCGGAGCCAACAGCCCTGGGTAATGGGTAATGTCAATGTCCTTGTGTGCAAACTTCAGAATCTTTGACCCTGCCAATCCCATAGTGGAAATTAATCCAAAGAAAACCATTTAGAAGAACAAAACTGCTCTAAATAGAATTTAGAGCACGTAATAAATAAAATTCCAATGTCCAGAAGAGGGGAAGTTAATGTTAAATATGATTTAACAGGGCAATGCAATTCTAAGGTATTAAAATCATACACACAGGCATAATATATAATGCATACAGGTGTGGGAGAGTGTTAAAGTAAACTTAGAAAATTTAGGATATAAAACCTTTCATGTATGACATATACAGTATTAGCACAAATTCGAAAGACAATATAGATTGTGATAGTAACATTAGAAGGGGAATATTTAAAGTCTGATTTGTTTGCTGTACAATTTAAATTAACAATCTGTTTATTTCCTTTCTGACTTTAAGCTTCTTACCAGTCACAAGGAGAAAACTGCCTACCTTACAACGTAACCATAAGGATTCAATATGGTCATGTTTGCAGTGTCTCCCAATCTCTGGATATTCCATTCACCCACTTGCTTCTAGAAAGTCATCCAAATCTCTACTCACTCATTTATTAGATCAGGGCAGAAACCTCTAAGAATTCTGTCCTTTACAGAACAAATGCCAGATATACATTTCTCAAGTTGAAGTTACTCCTTTTCCTTGGGCATATGCTCAACATAACTCTGTATTAGCATTTGGATTTGGTTCACTTGAGAGGAAGGAACASAAAAAAGCAAAGAGTATCTTTAAAAAACTCAAAAACATTATCATGTATACTTAAGATACACAAGATCTTATGGGATATATACCGATAGGAAGAAGGCTTACTCAAGCATACCCCATTCACGCCACGTGAATCTGTTTGCATCTGACAAGAACAGCTAAAATCAATTCATTCAGCGTGACTCCCACATGCAGTACCACTTAATTGCTTTTAGCTCTCACCTTGTACATCYGTCTCCACACTTGTTGATTCTACGTGACTGCTACTTTTTGAGAGGAGTCCTTACCTGAAAAGATATCTTCACACAGTTCTTCTCAGATGTAGCTAGGATTAGACTTCCGAGAGATGGAATTTCCCTCTGATGCAGTCAGTCCAGTGGGCTCTGGAAGAGTGAGCGAGTTTGGATATGTCTCTTCCAGAAATTCCTGAGATGTAACTCGGACCTTGCACTAAGCTGGCAAAGATTTCTGGATGTCAACTGTAGTGAAAACAACACTTACCATCAGGGTTTCTTGTTGAAAAGTCATGCAAGGCTGGGGAGGTTAGCATGTGCCCTCTGAGCTTCTCTTCCTGAAACATCACATGCTCTTTGCCCCCACAGATCTCGCCATTTCTATGTAAACCAAAGCTGTGTGGAAATCACAACAGGCAGATCCTGGAAGCAGGGTCAGATTATGCAGGGAATGTGCCCAGTCCAGCTCCAACAGGGGGTCTCAGGATGGTGAGGAGTCTGCGAAAGGGGGGTGGAGAAACAACACAGACACCAAAGTGAAGGTGCTGAATCCCCATCTTTACTTGTGAAGTTGATCATATATACTTTTCATTTTGGCAGGCTCACAGTACTTTGTGGTTACAAAACAGGAATCATTATTCAAAGAAACAAAATATTATGTAGCTACAATTAGAATAGAAGAATGTCTCTTGGCTTAGGCATAAGCAAGCATTTTTCCTTTCAGTTCC